TATATATATATATATATATATATATATATATATATATACTATATATATATATATAATAATAAAATTTGTAATATAATTCGGAAAAAATCTCGGAAACTTTTTAAATGTTATTACATATATTTTTGTATCTAAAACATCTCTTTCTGCATTTATATTAAAATTTGTGTATAATTTGATGTCTTATTCGAAAAAGAATTCCAATATAATTTTGCATTATTCAATATAGAATTATAATATGTCTTAATATAATTATAAAATTATTAAATATAATTATAAATAATATAAATAAATCTTATTATATACTATATAACTATATTATTATATACTATATAACTTATTATATACTATATAATTATATATTATATATCTATATGTGATATGATATAATAATATATATATTAGATATAAATCTTTTTTCCGGATAGCTTATACTTTTTATTAGATCCTACTCTTTAAATAAATTACTATTGTGGCATTCTTTAATCTGACTTCAACGTAACTCGCAGAAGTGCGAAACAAATTGCGGGCTACTGATTCCGGTTATCTCAGACTTCCACAGTTTTAATCGAATACTTTGCAGTGATAACATCTAATTTCATTATTTTTAATACAGCGTGTAGTAGAACTGAGTAGAAGTGAGTCAACTACTGTAATTGAATAATTTAGAGATTTAATCTGACTTCTTTCCTCATATACCTATATAATTTTAACGAGTGCAGTTTTGTAGTCCTCTTCAGATTTGACGTTTATTTCCCCGTTACGTTTTTTTAGAAACTATGACAAATTACATAACGGTATCATAACAAAATATTAATCATTACCCACCGTGAGTGGCTAATTATCTATCATCACGCGTATAGATTTAAATAAAATAGCAAAAAATAACTGCATATTTCCCAAAAGCTTCCTTAATAAAATACCCATCGTTTTATTTAATATTTTTGTCACGTATTTTGTATGTTATTTTTGTAACATGTGTAATTTCGGGATCGAGGATTCTTAAAGTTATTTTCAAGATATTTCGATATTATATTTGGATTTATCGCGAACAGCGTGCGTTTCCTCGAGAATATAATTCCATAAGAAGAAAATGGCAATTTAGCACCGGGCCTCGCGGCCATGCTAATTATAGTCAACGGAGGTTTTGGTCGAAGATGGAAAAACCTTGACAAGAATAACGACCGATTTATATGAAAGGTTGTAAAAATGTAAAGCCTGATACGCAATCTGCATCTGATCGACCATGAAGGGATGCGAAGGAATAGAAAGGTGTGTCTACGCGATTCCACTACATTCGAATCACGAAACTATGGCGAACAATATGCTTCTATATAGTATTGTCGACGCATTGCGCACTAAATAATCTAATTTTTCTGAAATATAAAAAGGTTAAAGATGTTAAACGTAAGGACAGAAGATTGGCACGATATTGACGTTCAATTTGTGTTTTATTTCGATATTTTCTATAATAAAGTGCCACATTGATTTTAGATTCTTTGGCGAAATCATGGAAAAAAAAACAAGTGCGTTGCTCGATGGTTGCTTAACGGTCCACAATCTCATGTTCGCATCTCCCTCGCGTGCGTCTTGACCTCGCGTCGGCAGCTTCTTCCGGCCGCTTCTGCGAACGCGGAAGTGCTCTGCTTGGTGCGTGCGTGCGTGTGTACGTATGCGTGCGTACGTGCGTGTACATCGCGTCTCACGGAAATTCAATACGAGATAATTTCAAAACCGAGGATGTCTCAAAGTGCCTCGCCGTATCTTGGGAATCGAGAATCGCTTACGGCAACCCGAGGGAACGACGAAAGATCAAGTTCGTACTTTCACGAGACACGATACGAGCGGCCGAAATGCATCGGGGAATATGCAAACGAGAAAGAAACGATGTCGAATTGTTTAGTAGATCTAGATTTTTTTGCTCCTACGTTATCTTGTCGCCTGCTGTTCTTCTTCTGGCGATTTCTTTCTTCCTGCAAAATGATTGCGTATTTTCTCGTCTTCGTTCCGGCGATATTCCACTTATTCACATGTGGTACACGCATGACGAGCTGGCAATCATTCCGACAAATACATGACTTTCTTTTCGTTGCGTCTACAGCATATGGAGTTTACATGCGCTTAAAGGCTACGTTAACTCTCTCGTCGCAAACATGAAATGTCTCATTGTTCATCATTATCATGAGGAAGGAAAGGCTTTTTCGTATCTTTCAATCCACAGCTTTACAACACTTTGTTTGCTACGAAGTGCAGTAGCTTTATCTTTGTTTTTCTGAAGTATGTTCGGTGAGCATATTAAATCCGATGAGTAAGTATAAAAAATACGGCATGAGAAAAATTAAAACAGTTATTACCAGTTATTTTTAGAGTGCGATTGCATTCATTTACCGTCCGCTTTTTACAGATTTCATCATCATATTTTAAATGGTTCGTAATCATCATTGTGCCAAATTCTAAAATACTACCTACTTTCACGAAATTCTACAAATATTAATACCGCAGACATTGCACGATAATCACAACATTCGTCCACTGTTCGCATTGCACGGATATTATTAAAAAACCAAATGACAAAGTTCACGGCGCATAATGTTAAATATATTTTATTATTATTAATTCCCAACACGGCTTTCCCGAAATACATACGCACGCGTAGCCCGATTATACGTCATTATCATTGCAGCGCACGTGAAGAGAACAATGCTAATTATAATAAAATATGAATATCTGCAAGCGTTATTCAGGTATCACGTTCAAACGTGTCCTGTCGGAACAATAAAGGTCGTGACAATTTTATAATTCGATTCACGCATTCCGCGTGCAATTACGCGCATTACGCGTAATTATCTCACACAAGAAATTAACTAATTAGCTCTTGCGTAACAAATTATCTAAATGAGGAATAAGACGAATAAATCATGAAGCGATTCTTTTTTTTATCTTGACTCACGTCCGACATAAAGAACAATTGTCACTAAAGATCTGGGAACTGATCACGATCTCTCTCTCTCTCTCCTTCCCTCCCCCATTCTTTCCATCGAGACGAATTCATCCGAGAATCTTTGCTCAAACGGCATTCAATGCTCAAAGAAATTTGTGAAGGCAATAGCGTTCTCCTTCATGCGACAGGAGATTTCGAATCGCCTTTTCCGTCTTTCGCGGACGAGCGATTTCGTTTAAAAAACAAATTTACTGGCGATGCGTTCACCGACCGCGGGCTCGTTATCGTCGCGGCATTAATTGCGCGCGCTTTCACGGCTGCCGCCGATTGCGGACACCGCAATCGTGAATGCATAAGGCCGCAAATGAACACAAATGCCGCAGAGGCGCGCGCTTCTCTATGATAATGCGGTTGTCCGTGAGAATGAAGGCGTAGCGGCTCCGCGCCGGAGCGCGGCCGCATCGCGCCGTGATCCGGAACTAGTCTCTGAATTGCGAAGAAGAAGAAACAGGTAGGTGCGCACGCGCGCACATTTGCCGAGATCTAGGCTGGCGGAAACAAGAGGAATCCTCGCACTTCTTCGGAAGGAGAGATTCCTCTTGTTTCCGCCGTCGGAGAAACCGTAGGAAGAAAGGCGACTCTCGCTGTTTGCGTCTCTTCCGCGTCTGCGGCCGGCTTTTAAAACGTTATTCTTTCTTCGGGACATACGATCGAAGAGTCTCTGGAGATCGCAGATGTGGGAACAATGGAGTTTTGGGTCGTATTCAAAATTTCTGTATTGAAAATTAATAAGTTAAAAATCAAATTCATTCTGATCAAAATAAGAAATCAAAGTTATTCGAGTTTTGCATAATAAGATCATCGATTTAATGCGTCTCTTCGGTCTCTACTGCCCACTTGCATTCGATCGCTAGAATTCTTTCGGAGGTATGTTGAAAAATTCTCTTTGGAGAAGAGCCAAAGCTTTATCTATTACATCGAAATTCCGAAAGTGGAGTAATAACTTCCAGAGATGGTAGCCAGCATGCTGGCTACCAATTATACGTCCGGCCGTTGACCCGTTCGACGACGATGTCGTACCCTAGTGGAAGCTAAATCGTTCGTTGGACGTTAAGATCGATCACGGTAACGTACGTGCCGGCTCACGTGAGCGGCAAGGCCAGACAGCAGGAGTCGGCGGCCGGCGGCGTGGCCGGCGCGACGCCTCTACTCGTTTTACGCTTAGAAACCAAGTGCGCCAAGAATATACCTGCCGCCCGTCCACCGGTGTTGTCCTCTTTGGTGCATTACGTAAAATTTATTAATGCACGACGGGCATTTACTTACGACCGGGCCGTAAAGGCGTCCGATAACAGCCGCCCCATTGCGAATTCCGTGGACTCCCTCTAATTTTAGTTTCCGCTTGGTACCGTCCGCTTGTCCGCTGTCGCGGAATTTTATTTCGACTGCCACATCTTGGCACGTCTTGTTTATTATTACGAAGTACGTCCTTTATTATAGATAAACTAAAAGTCGTCATCGAAAAAAATTTATTTCTCTCGATAATAATTCACAAATCGATAAAAGAGATCCGCGAGGAGAATTTCATTCTCATTCAAGAACTTTACGTTTTAAATAAGTAAAGTTTCCTTTTAGATACAATTTCATATTTAGTCTCACCTCTCGAGCAGTGACTTTTGACTTGATTCCGAATTTAGTGGATATCTCTTTACGTTGGCGCCGGATTAATTAATTCAACGGGGATTCATTTCCAACAGCAGGAATATCCTTCTGCTCTATTTACATTCATCTCCCTCTCATTTGCATCTCTGCTTTATTTTCATATTTCTCGCTCTACGTATCTGGTTTTAGTTCCCGTTTTAATGTGCCCGGCGTGCGAGGTCTGGCAGCGATTCGCGCGTTGATCTTGCGTTTCGCGTGTCCTTGGCGAGGCTTTCGATGGCGGTTAACAACTACGACGGAACTGCATCGGCAGACACGTGTTTTTCAGCAATGTTGCGGCCTATTTTCCAGAGTCTTTTTCACGATCAGCGATGCCAAGCAGATTATAGTGGTCGAATAATGATCGGCAAACTCGATCCTATGCTTCTCGCTACATTTTGCCGCATTCGCCATGTCGTTTGCGCGCAACGTGCGTACCGTTACGTATCGTTTGAGGGAAAAGTGCATTGCCCGATGGTTTAGAGAAACATTATTTCAGATAAAGCACGCGTAGATAATCTATCTCGCAAAAGCTTTTTTCCGATAGCGTGAACAAAATTTCTGAACAAAATTTCATTAACACAATCACAGTTTGAAGAATATCGTGATATGAATGAATGATAATACTTCAATTTAATCTCACTTATTCTACTTTTTTCTCTTTTTCCACCTCTGTAAACTCTAAATATACATCTATTTCATTATACAAAAAGCATGGACGGAGAGCAGCTAAAACGGACAGATTTAGATCGCGACACTTCTCGGTGGACAAAATGCAACTGTGTTGCGATGCACGAAAGCGCGTTCGTCGACAAGACGTTACATAAAGCGGGATTATTGAAACGCATCCGGCCAACCGCAGCTGGATATTGTTACCACCATTCACTCTGTTTTCTAATTCTTTTATTGCAAGTAATCAGATTTTGAACTTGCGAATAATTTTTACATGTATGAATTTATGATTTTTGGTGAGAATTGTACTAGAGAAATATGCATGAAGTTAAATTATAATCTGTATAAAGAGAAATTAATTTAAATTTATAATTTAGTTTGCACTTTTTTAAAACTTTTCTAAAACTTTTTAAATTATCGAACATTATTGCATGCACGCAACACGAAGCCTTTGATTTTCTAAACGTTTTCTATCTGCACAAGAATATGTTTTCGAAGCGTAAGAAGCCAACAAAAGGCAAGTCAAGCGCTTAAAAGATGATCCAATAATAGCAGTGAGGTTCAAGGAAAGTTTGAATTAGGCCAACAGTTCACTAATGCAAGATACTGCGGAAGATCAGGGAAAGCCAATATTTTGAGCCGTTGAGTTTTAACGTTTCTCTTAGTTTCCCGTTTCCATAGTTTTTTTCATAGATTTCAAGATTTCTAGGTTGATAATAAAAAGAAGTTTATACAACAGCGATTATTTTTTCTTTCCTTTCTGCTTACAAAATTATAGTTGTCACATACATTCTAGATTTTTCTTTTCAGCTGCACTTTCCATACTTTCTTGCAGTTTTTCCTTCCCTCTGAATGTATATCTATCTCATTTGACATGTAGAAAGTGCTAAGAAAGTGCAGCGAAATTAAATCTGTAATTTATGAATGTTCTTTATGAATGCATTTAACACGAACGAAAAATGCACTGCAATTTTTCGAATGTCTTTAAGAAGCAAAATATCTTGAAGTCATCAGAGAGAGATTTTAATTGTCGGTATCGACCAGACTTTCAACGAGACATTTCGTGTCCAATAGATATACATATACACACACATTTCGATATCGGAGATAGTTACCTTACAGGTGTCCGTGGTGGCCGTGAGGATCACGATGAGATCGTATACTTCGTGAGACCTTCGAGCAGACGAAGACGCGGAACATACTTCTTTATCACTTGCGATGGGCTCACAATACAATACAATACGAATGTTGATCGATACGAAAGAAGATTGCCATTCGTCTATATTCGCGATAACTCGAAACGATCTTTCCTGAGAGAAGAAGAGAAGTAAACGAGAGAACGCGGCGACGAGAGAAAGATCTGTCTCGCGACGCTGCCGTCCGAAAACTCGTGGCGTGCGCTTGTGATGCAGCCGTCACGGTCTGCCCCCACTGCGGCCGCCACCGCCGCCACCGTCGCCTCCGCCGCCGCCGCCGTCGCCGCCGCC